CTCACGGACAACCAACAACAAAGACTCATCAGTGCTGTTCGGGATGACCAGCTACTGCCACTCTTACAGTCCAGACAAACACAAAGGGCTAGAGGGTAGTGGCAAGAAAAAAGATCAAGGGGAGGAGCTGAGATAGATACTACTTGATAGCAAAAATATGACCATATATCCATAATTCATCTGTTGAACTTCTGACGTAGCAATATCTACCTCAATTAAATAAAAAAATTGCAATCTGGTTTCTCTACAATAGCTATAAAATTAACAGAGAAAAAATAACATCACTGCTGCCTTTAAAATGCACCAGGTATGAAAAAATTCCCAAGCTATACTGTTAAGAGAAAAAAACAAATATGGAATAGTATATGTAAAGTATGCAACCATGGGTGCAAAACCAATTTGTGTATATGCTTACATGTGCATGGAAATCTCCAGAAGGATACACAGGAAATTGCCAACAAAAGTTGCTGCTGAGAAGGGGAAAGAAGGAACAGGAGTAGGACAGAAATTTTAATTTCCCGAGTTACCTCTTCGAAATTGTTTCCCGTGTGTGCTCTCACATGTGTATGTGTGTGGGTGTGAAGGGGGAGCATGTGTATCACCTATTCAAATAAATAAATGAATAAATACATCTATAATTATCCTAAATTATGAAAGAAAGGAATTAAAGTTAAAACAAAAAAGTCCAAAATATTCATTTAATTCCATGTACATGTCATATAACATATACACACACGTATAATGTGTCACATACTATAGCAAGATCTGAAAAGAATGTACTCTTTCGAGATAAAGCTGATCAAACCGAATCACAACAAAAAAGTAGTAAATGTCCTATAAGTATCTCTTTTACCTAGCAATCCTACTTCCAGGAACTTATCCTAATAATTGGACAAGAGTACAAAAAAGAATGTACTACGTTGTTTATCTAAGCATTGTTCATAAGAGCAAAAAATGAGAAGTATCTTAAATACCCAGTAGAATAAATTCCTTAATCCATAAAATAGAATACTATGTAGCATTAATACAATGACTTAGAGTCATCTTTACTACCAGGAAAGGAAGTTTAAGATAGATATACAGATACACACACACATACACGTTTTAAATCACAAAGCAAATACATATGTGTATCCTAGGGTCTTTTTTTGTTAAAGATATATATGTACATCTATGTATGTGCACATTTATATTGGAGTGCATATATATTATAGAAGCTGTCTCTAAGTGCAGACTTTTTAGTGCTTTTAATTTCACTTACAGTTTTGCTTTCTTGGTTTTTCCCCTTGTTCTACAATGACCATGTTTTGCTTATACAATTATATAATAATGAAGCCAACATTTATTAAGTATTACTATATGCTAGGCACTATTCTAGGCATTTTTTGCATATTAATGCATCTAGTCCTTACAACAATTCTGTGAGGTCAGGACCATCATTATCCACATTTTACAGGTGAGTAACAGAGGCACAGGGGTTACAAAGCTTGTCCAAAATCATAGCTAACAAGTGGTGGAGTCAGATTCAAACCCAGGCGGACTGGCTCCAGAGCCCAAGCTTTTAACCACTGTGCTAAAAACTGCCTCCCAGACTGAAAAGTGCAAATCACAAAAACAAAATGTATAGTATGGTCCCACTTTTATAAAAACAATTTAAAAAGGAAAAAGTAATTTAAAAATCTCTATGCTGGGATTATAGTTTTGATCTAGATTATATATTTCTGCAATATTTATTTTTATTTATTTATTTATTTTTTGCATGAGCCTAGATTTTTTAATGGACAGGGATCCAATTCATTTCTATTTTTATTTTTTATTGTACTTTACATAAGGTTTACAGAACAAATAGTTTCTCGTTAAACAGTTAGTACACATATTGTTTTATGATAACGGTTAACAACCTCACAACATGTCAATACGGTCCCTTCTCAACCTTGGGTTCCCTATTACCAGCTTTCCTGTCCCCTCCTGCTTTCTAGTCCTTGTCCCTGGACTGTTGTGCCCCATTAGTCTCATTTTGTTCTGTGGGGCTGTCTAATCTTTGGCTGAACAGTGAACCCTGAGAGTGACTTCATTACTAAGCTAAAACAGTGTTTGGGGGCCATACTCTCAGGGTTTCTCCAGTCTCTGTCAAGCTAGTAAGTCTGGTCTTTTTTTGTGAGTTAGAATTTTTCGTTTTTTTTAAAAAATCCATTATCCATTGGGTAAGGAGCAAAACTTTAAAAACATTACTCTTTTCTCCCTTGTTGCTGTGGGGCAGTGTAGAAAACAGGCCTAGAGTCTGTACCATGCTTCCCTGCACTTTCATCTTAAATCAATGCTAATGATATTGTCTTAAGAAGGAACAGCAAATTGTGAATGCTTATTTTCAATGGGATCTCAGGAGATCCCACATCCCCCAAAGAAACAGCAGAGACTTTGTCTTATTTGGTATAGAAATGGGCAGAGGGTATGGGACGCTACCAGCCAGGTAGGAGGTACAAAGCTCCCACCATAAAGCCAGGGTTTACAAAACTCTGCAGAGATGCTGGGCATTGCTCTTTTTCATCTAAACCTCCCTTTATCTGTGAGATTCTCCTGCTTTATCTATCTTCCTACAGCTGTACCTTTTCAGGGGTGTGGCCTCAGGAATCAAGGAGAAACTTAGATTTCTAATCTGGCTGGGGTATTCCCCATTTGTCACCTCTGATGTGGCTGGATACGACCTTGGAAGCCAGCTTTCAGTTAGGCTGCCTTGCCCTGCTCCTAGGCAGACAGTCTAAAGCTTGACTCTACCTTCTGATTTCTGGAATTCCCAGCACTGCTGTGGGGTTGTCACAGGGGCAGGTCATCATTCCAAAGGGGATGCCTCACAAGAACTTGGTAGCTCATTGCCCTGGAGCAAAAGCCTTAATAAATCTAAAATCACAGGGACCTCAAGAGTCGCCGGCAGTGACCACAGCCACTGGAAGCACCTCCTTGAGATGTGGGATAAGAAAACGCCTTTGAAGGCTTCACTCAAACTGGGGAGCTGAGCTGAAGTAGCACTGAGGAATCCCTTCAAGCTTATTCCCTGATTTGAACATCCTTAACCCAAACTGAAAACTCCTTTTCCAGCCTCCTGCTCTGCTGGCCAGAACCAAACCAGGTAAATTATGTTACTACACTTCCTCCATGTTACACTGGAGTTTCTCCTATGTTCCAATCAGTATTATTATAAAAATGCAAGAGCTTTATCAGAACTCTTCCTGTACCCTTTTAGCTTAATTTACTATTGCAGTTGTCTTTACTGGTCTACCCCTACAGAGCTAGAAATTGAAAAAGATTGTTCCCAAAGGAACATGAACATTTATACTCACTTATTCACAGCTTCTCAAACCCATGCACAGATGTGTAAACCATACACATTCTCTCTCGCGCGCGCGCACGCACACACGCGCGCACACACACACACACACACAGAGGAAGAGCATAGAAGCCACCCATAATTTTTATTTTAGGGTAACTGGGCATGCTTTCAGCAATTCTTGGAAAAAGCATAAGAACAAAAGCCAGGTACATATGATGTAGTCTCCAACCAATTCTCTCTCCTCCAGGACCTGAATACTACAAAGGGGCAGAGGGCTGAGGAGTCTCTAGTCCCAGTTATTACAAACAACCAGACACATGAGAAAAGGGGCACATCACCTGCCCCAGTCTAAGGAAAACGGTGACTCCTAGGAATCTCAACCTAGTGAAAATACTAGTGGTAAAAGATTTCACAGGTGTCCCTAAAAGATTTCATCCTATCTCTTGGTCTCCCAATGAAGGAATAAAAAACTCATTGCTGATGAGTCGATTTCGACTCAGCGACCCTACAGGACAGAGTAGAACTGCCCCATAGGGTTTCCAAGGAGCAGCTGGTGGATTTGAACTGCTGACCTTTTGGTTAGCAGCGAAGCTCTTAACCACTGCACCACCAGGGCTCTACTGAAGGAACAGGTCTAAGGAAAAGCCTAAGTGCCTTACTTTAAGAAAACTGAATCAAGACTACAGAAACCTGAGTCCTTGTTCTAGCTCTATCAGTGACCAAATGTGTGACCTTGGAAAAGTTACTTAACCTCTCTGGGCCTCAGTTCCTACATGAAATGAAACATCCTGCACTACATAAGTTCTAAGGTGTTCTACAAGTTCTAGGATTCTAAGACTCGGCATATAAAACAAAAACGGGTAAATTAGGAGGTGATTAGGTTACAAAAGGTGCCCTGGATTTACTACTAATGACCTTGCTCTCCTTAGGCAAGTCACTTGACTTTTTAAGTAAACAGAAGTGGCCTTTTTAATTTCGGTAGTAGAATCCTTAGACTGAAATCACTTCCTCTCTTAGGAACTCAATTTCCTCATTTATGAGATGAGGTAGTGGACTACATGGGCCTCTAAGGTCCTGTTTAATTCCAGCATTCTGTCATCCATACTGGATTTACCACAGAGGATTGTGAAGTTAGGCTTCTTTAGTACATTTTAATTGGTTCAATTTGCAAAAGAATCCAGAAGGCTCACGATTCTTCAAGAACTCATCTAAAGCTTAAAGTGAGGCCCATCAGGTCTCAACAGCTGGTGAGGACCTCTCACCTGGTCATTACCACCAAGCACTTTTGTGTGGCTACCTGACACCTCATCTTCATCCTACATACACATTCTCCTTACCAATGGAGACATGTGAAAGAACAGAAAACACAATCCTTGTCGTCAAACAGTTAACACAAGGTGTAGGTTTGAGCCCAGTAAGTATACAGGATGAGTTAAAAAAAAACAAAAAAAACACATAAGACATAAAACTTACTAAGTAACTTGCCAACAAGTAAAAGTTAATAGCTAATGTAAGACATAAATACGCAAAGAACAGGCTGGTGTGAGTTAGTCACGGAAAGCTTTCTGCACAAAGGAGTTTTAAGAATCAGGCTTTCAAGGGCAGAAGAAACCCTGACTGGCAGAGAAGAGGGCTGAGGCCTGGAATGGAATCCTGAATCAAGGCTCTTTACCTTCCAAATGTTGGGGGGCAGGTTCCCTGTTCACAAGGCTCCAACCCCCTGATGCCTCCACTCAGTGCCACTCAGGAGATGCTCCCAGTAGCCCATCTTCTTGGCTATTTTCCGAATGAGTCTTCCTTCCTGGTGACAAGCTCCATTGCCAAGGGGATGGACGTAATGTCACAATCAGGAGCACTCTATTAATAGGAACAAGGAAGACAAAGGTGAGTCAGGGGAACTACCTCCACTTGGCAGGGAGACTGGATAGACTTGGGTCTGGCAGTTGATAGAGAGGGATGAGACAACCGCATTAAGGACTACAGGTTTCAGTGCTAGGCATACAGGACTACCCTCTAAGGAGGGAAATCAGTGGCTAAGGAACAAGACTCCTGGCCCAGGAGATTCAGACAAAGCTGGGTGCGGGAGAGAAAGGGATAAGAAGAAGGGTAGAGAGGAAGAGCTATTTGAGATTTAAAAAACTATTTTATTCAGTGCACATGACTTGTAAGTAATGCCAGTGATTCCAAATCTGTGGCTACACAACGCACAGACCCATCATAGTACCTTACATGCGCAGGATGATGCTTTAATATTTTCAAAGTGCTTTCACATCAGTTATTTCATGTAAAAAGAATTCTGGTCCTACCCTGCAATGGGAAGATACTATTCTCATAAGAAGAAAATACTCAAAATTTTGTTATAGGTGCAATTCTACTTCCCAAGTCAGGAAATGTTCCTGAAGGGATCAGGCTTTAAAAAGAAAAAGAAAGAAAAAGAAGAGGCAGTGAATCAGGAAATTATTGTCCAGGGTGGACAACTGGGAAAACTAAAGATAATGGTGTGATTACTCAGACTCTTGTTACCAGGACAGAACCAAGCAGAGGAAGACAAGGCTTCAGATGAAGGTTGCTGAGTAATCTGTTTGAATATATCCAGGAGGATGGCAACTACTTGAACTCCTTTCCTCACCATAACCTGTTAATCAGTAATTTAAGGGCCGTGTTAGGAAGGATAGGATAATAATTATTATACATGAAACAAAGACCACTTCATTTTCTGAGTCTGGTAAATATGCTCATTAGTTTACTATGGTCATCAGCAACAACTTGTCTAGAGTGGTATTTTTAAACTAATCAGAGATGAGGGTGCAATGCCACATACACTTTCTCTTCCCTGTGGTTGGAGGGGTTGATACAACGTTTCTCCCCACTACTCCTTTCTCTCCCACCCATAATACAGAGAAGGGTATACTGTGTCTTTCATTTTGACAAACTCCATTTCCTGGCTTCCTGGCATATACACCTGTTCCTCAGGAAATGCTTCCAGGATCAGTACTGTCGGCTATGCTTAGTGTTCTCCTAGTGACAACTTCGTGACTCACAAATAGTTGCCCATGCTGGGAAAACCAGTCTCACTCTGTACTATCCCTTTGATGCCCCCTTGGTCAGAACAAAACAAAAATTTAACTGAGAGGAAGACCAGGAGTGAGGAGACTTGGGTTCTGGTCCTGGTCTGCCACCGACCAACTGTGTAACTTTAAATAAACCATGTAACCCTTCAGTGGTTCAAATTTCTTCAATTGTCAAGTAGGAAAAATGATACCTGCCTTATGTACCTTATATGTTGTCCTGAAAATCAAATGATAATAAATGTGAAAGCATCCTCAATACCACTATCCCCAGTTAAGGTCTTGTTTACAGCAATAGAACGCAAAATACTTTGAGTAGTGAGGGATGGGGAGGAAATGCTTGAAAAAAGCTTGTTCCTTCTTTTCAATCACTGGGAACCAGGACCAGCACAAGGTCGGCTGGACACACAGGGTAGTAACATTATTCCATCACTCCATTCTCTACCACTAGTCCACCTCCATTCCTATTTGGAAAACAAACTATTAGCCTCTTGGCATATTATCAGACTCTCAAACCACGGTAAGGAATAAGACTATCACAGCCCTTCCCCAAAGGCAATAGCTCCGGTGGCCTCATTAGCAGCCACATTTGCTATCAGATGTAAAGGCAAGTTTTGGATGGGGAAGGCAGCTTATCAATCCCTCACGCAAAACGCCCCCACCCTCTTGGCTTTCTGCTCCTTTGGGCAGGGGGCTCCTACCCAATTTCCCCCACGTGCCGGACTGGTGAAGGCTTTCTGGTGTGTGTTTCCCCCACGTGCCGGACTGGTGAAGGCTTTCTGGTGTGTGAAGGCTGTTAACAGGGCTGGGCTGCAAACCAAGGCAGGGAAGTAAGGAATGTGAGATTCCTTCACGGAGGGGTAGGAGGCGGGGAGGAGTGGGGAAGGAATGAAGGAGGAGGACCAGGCTGAGGGCGGCTGCCAAAGACAAGGCATGGGAGAGAAGCCAAGCTAAGGCGCTTCGAGGGCGGGGGTTCAGGTTCCATCGCCCCTGTCCAGGCTGGCCCCCCCGAATGTTCCCCTCCTCCCCTTCCGGCCCGTCAATCATTGCCTATTTAACACTACATTCCCAGGCCCCTCGCCTCCCTGTTCTCCAGCCAGCCCAAGCCGCCTCCCGCACTTCTCAAGGCTACCCTACTCCCAACAACCCATTCTCCAGAGCCCCTTCTCACCTCCCAACTCTCCCCAGTGCTGGCCCCTCCCTCCATTTTTCATCTTTACTCCCATCCGTTCTTCTGACCCCCCCCAATATCTCGAACCCCCACCCCAGGCCCCCCGGGACATCGCTCCCCTTCCCTCCCACACCCCTTTTAAGGTGGAAACCCACGCAGGCGCAGTACGCACCGCCCTGGAAGCGGTCTAGACTCTCCGTGCCCCGACCCGGCTGGAGCTGAAGCCGCAGCGGCCACGGGACAGCCCAGGTGTCGAGCCCCAGCCTCTCCCGGGAGGGAAAGGAGAACGGGAAGGAGGGGTAAAAAGACTCTGACCACTCGTTGCCGTCCGAGACGAACGCTTTGCCCCGCCCACTACTCTACGCAACCCGGCGGATGCTCGTCACCCAACTCCGCCTCTTTGTTTAATTCAGACTCTGACGGGAAGCCACGACCGACCATCGAGGAGGGAGGAACGCTAGCCAGGCCTCCGCTCTAGACCGGAAGTCTTTATGGTCCCAAAGAGGACTATATAGCCATTTGGGAGGAAGAACTCTATGTTCTTCCCAGCGTGAAAGTCAGGGGCCGAACCGGGAGAAGGGAGGGGAAGGGGAGTGGAGGGAGCGGATGCCTCTGGGCGGCAAGACTCCGCTTTGGACGGGTGTACGTGTCCCGTGCCCTAGGGCTGATGCACGGTGGTGGGAGATGGTCGCGGAAAGGCTCGTCTGCAGTGGGACCCACCGTGCGCCCGGTCCCTCTCCCGTTTCCAGAACCGTGGTCAGCATCCCGGAGCCTCCCAAGCCTATGACTCATAGTCATGGGAGTGGATACTGGAGTCATCACGGCAGCTGCGGGGTGGGGAGTGGGGGAGTGTCTGACAAGGCTTTGCCCTGGGGAGCCCAAGGAATGGCTCCCCGAACGCTCAAGGAGTTCCCTGAAACACCTAAGGGAGGGGACGGCAGGGAGAGAAAATGTCCCGCTTCTGGGACCAGCAACCCATCCTCCAGCGCCCCTTCCCACCTCCCAACCCCCTGTGCTACCCCCTTCCACCATTTTTAATTTTTACTCCCATCCCTTCTTCTGACTGCCCAGTATCTCGAACCCTCACCCCAGTGGTTTGATTTCTTTAGGATACAAGTCTGTGGTTTGGAGGTGTGCGCGGGAGAGAGCCAGTCTTTTACTGGGCTCTGAAGAAAGTCAAGGTGGAGCCGACCCACCTCCTAGGCCCCTTTAATACTTTTAATCAGCCTCTTCGCGGCGTTCGGACTCCGATCCCGATTGGCTGAGCCGAGGCGGGCGGTGGGACGCGGAGCGCGCCCGGCTGATTGGCCAGAGGAGGGAAACTTCCGGGAATGTTCCCGCGGCCGCGTTCCACTAGTCCGCATCCGCCGGCAGCCCGGCCTGTGGCTCCCCCTGCGGGCGACTCAGCGGCGTGCACAGTCGGGCCGGCTGGCAGGGTGGGTGGTGGGTCGTGGGTGGGGAAGGGATGAACCGAGTCCCGGGTTGTCTGGATGAGGGCTCGGGAAGGTTTGGCGAGTAAGACTCCAATCCCTGGCTCTGCAGCGGGTTCCCTAACCCCATCTACGTCGGTCCCCCACTTCGGGGCTTCAGACTGAAAGAACATCCCGGGAAGAGGCCTTCCAACCCCGAAGCGGCTTATCCAAAGACTCCCAAATTCTAATCTTGAAGTTGGAGGCTCCCGGGGAAGTTCGTTTCTAACCTTTGGGTTGGAGGCTGCCTGACCCCAACCCAGTGTGGTAGGCCGTGGGAAATGTTGGACGGGGGCGAAGGCGCTAGGCGTTGAGCCTCCATTCGCCTTTCCCCCTTCCAGTGGGGTGCCGAGGCTTGGGCAGCATGACGACGGAGACCTTCGTGAAGGATATCAAGCCAGGGCTCAAGAATCTGAACCTCATCTTCATTGTGCTGGAAACAGGTAGATATGCTGGGGCGGTGGGCCCTCGGCGCGGGGTCGGGGGGTGGGCGGGCGGAACCAGGAGAACACCGTCTCTGTCCTTAGCTTGCATCTGGGATGGTAGGGCCCGCCCTGAGTACACGGCTCTCGCCTGGCGGCTTTCTAAGTTGTGGTTAGGTAAGTGATAAAACTCCTGCCTGCCAGTAGTGCCACGCGGGCCTCTTTCCACTCAGGGCTCTCTCCATGGTGCTGGCCCCTCCCCCTCCCCCTGCCCCCACTCCCACTCCATCCCAGCCCAGGGATTTGGGCTTTGGATTGTTTGTACATTTTTTTCCTTCACCCCCACAATATCTAGATCTCATTCCTCTGATCACCGCCCCCACTAATTTGACCATTTCCCCCACCCGCATTAATCTGTTCCCTCCAGGCCGAGTGACCAAAACAAAGGACGGGCACGAGGTTCGGACCTGCAAAGTGGCAGACAAAACTGGCAGCATCAACATCTCGGTCTGGGACGATGTGGGCAACCTGATCCAGCCTGGGGACATTATACGGCTCACCAAAGGGTAAGCCAGCCGGGGTCACCTGGCTATGGAAGGGCAGCAGCAGTGGGGGGGTGGGGTTAGCAGTCCCTGTAACTTTTATGAGGACTCTGAATCTTGTTTTTGCCCCCACAGGTATGCTTCCGTGTTCAAAGGTTGTCTGACACTATACACTGGCCGTGGAGGTGATTTGCAGAAAATCGGAGAGTAAGTTCTGTTCTGTGAATTGGGATGAAGCACCGGGCCAAGGCGGGAAATGTGAAGGTTTGCAGGGAAGGAGCGTAAGGGTTTGCAGCCCATCTCGTATCTGAGATTTTCTGAGGCCTTCAGTACCAACCCCAGAAGATAGGTTCAAAGCTTTGGCTATTTTCTCCCCTTGCAGATTCTGTATGGTTTATTCTGAGGTTCCTAACTTCAGTGAGCCGAACCCAGAGTACAGTGCCCAGCAGGCACCCAACAAGGCGGTGAGTCCCATGGCCGTGATGGTGGGGAAGGAGGGCAGGTCAGACCAAGAAACGGTAGGAAGCAGGGACTGAGTGTATGGTTTGTGCCTTCAGGTGCAGAACGACAGCAGCCCTTCGGCCCCCCCGCCTACCACTGGCCCCCCTGCTGCTTCTCCAGGTAAACTTGTTCCCTTTCCTCTACTGGTCCTCCTAGCTCCCTCTTTGTCCTCAGCCTGTTGTGTTCTTAGCTGCCATTGAGTTTATTCTGACTCATGGCAACCCCATGGGTGTCAGAGTAGAACTGCTCCATAGGGTTTTCAAGGCTGTGACTTTTCAGAAGCCAGATTACCAGGCCTGTCTTCTGAGGCACCTCACGGGGGGTTTGGACCAACAGCCTTTTGGCTGGTAGTTGAGCGCTTAACCATTTGTGCCTCGAGGGACTCCCTTCCTCAGTCTGGATAGGGGTATTTCCCTCATCTCTTTTCCAGATCTCTTTTCTCACAATATATCCCCCTCAACCCAACTCTTCTCCAAATCCCCTCACTTTTGATACCCTTTGCCTTCACCTCTGTGGTGAAGGAATTTGGGGATCTGTTTCTACCACTGATAGAGCTCAGGTACCTATTTGCCACTATCATTCAAAGGCAAGGAAACCCTGGTGGCATAGTGGTTAAGAGCTATGGCTGCTAACCAAAAAGTCGGCACTTCAAATCCACCAAGCACTCCTTGGAAACTCTGTGGGGCAGTTCTGCTCTGTCCTATAGGGTCACTATGAGTTGGAATCGACTCGATGGCAAGGGGTATTTTTGATTCAAAGGCAAAAAGGAGGAAAACTTCAGTTTGCACTCCTTCATTCTAGCTTGTTTCTTGCTGCTCCTTCTCTGGCAAAACCTTGCTATTTTCCTACTTTGCCCATTATGATTCATCACAGGGTTCTGATACGCTGTTACTCACATAACTCAACATGGAGTCCACACTGCAAAGCTTGAGAACACTAAATAGTTCCCTTTTGGGGTTTCCACTCTTCTTGAAATAAGGCCCTGTGTCTAGGCCATGATTCTTCCATCTCATGTCCTTCAAGCCCCACTTTTTGATCTCTTGAGGAATTGGGACCTTACTGGAAATCACCAACTTTTGATGAGAACCCCTCACTGACGCCACGTCCTTCAGCAGTGCATCTGGTGCCCCCTGGCTTCTCCTCAGGAACCTGGCTTTTGACTCTGGCACATCTCCCAGCTGAGCCTACTCCCTGGGTGTTTGGCTCTCTCTTGCCTCTGATCAGTCTCTTAGGCTTCTCCTCTCTCTACCTCTTCCCAGTTTCTCCCTGTGACATCAGGTTTCTGGCTGCCTCTGCCCTTTTTCGGTTTGTGTCTACATCCCTGAGTTGCTTGCATATCAGAGCCACTGAGGGGCATGGTATTTTTTGGAACACCATAAAATAACAACATTTAATTCCACCACAAAAATTAGCATCTGTGTTTCTAACAGAAAGTATTTCTATGACATGTTTTCAGGTCACCGTGACTCGGTAATTTCTAGAAATATTTTTAATAAGCTACATTTAAGCCTGTTTGCCCCTCATATTCATTTGCCAGATATTTATTCATGTTGTCATCCGCTAACAGGTTCAGAAGGTTTAACAACAACCAAAAAGAAGGCATAAAAACTTAATATTGACTTCTCTACAGTCACCTAACTTTTTCTGTGAATTGGAGAAATGGCATTCTTCTTCAGTTTTTGCAACAGATATCTTAATTCTGTGGAGCAGCAGAGTTCAGTAGGGATATGGTTTGAGAACCATTAGCCTATGACTTCTGTCCCATTTAGGGTTCACAGTGCCCTACGTATGTGAGAGGCAGGCCTCTGTCTTCATTTGAGAGATTTATAGAGCACCTGCTATGTGCCAAGGAATAAAACCCAACACTGGCCTTGAGGAGCCTGTACTCTGTGAAGGAGACAGACGCGCAGATGACAATTCTAATATACTGTGGCGAGTGCAATGATAGTGATATGCAGAGAATTATGGGACATCTCACACACCTGGCTCCAGTCCAACATTTAAAATACACTCGAAAATGTTGCTTGCCATTACCTTTAGGGGCGAGACGATGTGTCATAATTTCTTTGCTTATGCTAATCTATACTTTTAAAAATGAATATGTATTGTTGTGACATACATAGGCAGATATACATATATATACTTATACCTTTCTTTCCTTTTAAGATCCTCCTTACATTTTAACACAGAAACTTCAGGCCCTTCCCAAGTTTTACAGTCACTTTGGTAAAGGGACATTTTGTCAAAGGCCCTTGAGCCTTCATAGAACAGCTGATTCTAGGTCTGACTCTCGATACAGGGATGATTAAGAGAGAAAAAAATATTATACTAGGGTTCATGTGGCAACTTCCAAAATGACTGTTGAATCTTCTTGAGTGCTCCAGTTACACTCACAATCCGCATTCTTTTCCACTTGGTCCAGTCGGCATTAATGTGCAGCTGTGCTTGGTGATGGGGGTGCCCTAGGGTCACATTTCCATTTTCTGGGGCATGGAGGAAGGCCTTAAGGATGGGCCCTTCTCCTACCTTAGCGCTCTAATTCCTGTGCTTCTTCCCCTTCTTCCACAATTAGCCTCTGAGAGCCAGAATGGGAACGGACTGAGCACCCCACCGGGCCCTGGTGGTGGCCCACACACCCCTCACACTCCCTCCCACCCACCCAGCACCCGAATCACCCGCAGCCAGCCCAACCATACATCTGCTGGCCCTCCTGGCCCCACCAGCAACTCTGTCAGTAACGGCAAAGAAACCCGAAGGAGCAGCAAGAGATAGCAAAACACTCTTCATCCCTGCCTGCCACTGAGCAGACAACCCAAGCGTCTCTGCTGGAGAACAAGACAGCCTTCTACTGGGCTGCTGGCTTGGGGGGAGGCGTAGCGGTATCTTACCACCAAACTTCATTGGCGGGGCAATGAGCAGTGGCCTTATCCATTAAGCCCGGGTTCCCCCCTTGTCTAGCTGCAGCTGCCTGTCCCTTGGGATTCGTGGCACTCTGCCCCCCTTCCTCTTTAGAAGCAACAGTTACCGTCTGTTTCTTGTGTGTGTGATGTGGGAGGCTAACTGAGAGTCCCCTTTCCTAATAAATGTTATCATTCTGCACTGGACTCCTGTGCTTTCTGTGAGAAAAGAAAGAGGATAGCAGCTGGCTATTTGGAAAGGTGGGGTGTCCCTGGGAGGTGGAGATGAGACAAGTTACGGATAAGGAGGTCTAAGCAAAGCAGGCCTGCCCCTTTAAGGTGGTGTCCCTCCCCTACCCCCTCCCTGCAAGTGACCCTTGCCCGCCTGCCTTATTACCGCCCCCCCCAAGCTGGAACCAAGAAGGCTGTGTCCCCCTTCCTCTGGACGTCCTTTCCTGTCTCCTGCTGTCAGGTAATGCCAACCTCAACCCCCCACCCCCGCCCCCCACCGGACCAACTACTGCAATCAACCTTTGTTCCCCTGATCTTAAGCCAGCTCAGACATCTGAGGGGAGCCCAGATACTTCTTTCCTCTTCCCTTCGAGGCCTTCCCCTTTCCTCAGAGCTCTGGATCCCTCTTCCTGGGGCAAGAAATTGCAAAGAACAGTTTGCTCCCAAAGCATCTGAGATTGTCACTGATCTGCCTCTTCACCCTCCTCCCCAGCGTAGGGACACCTGGGGCCAACTTTCCCAGGAAATGTGGGGGTGGGGATTGGAGGTGAATCCCAGTGCCAGATGTGAGGTAGGTGGGATAGGAGTATATGCAGGGAAAGGCTAAAATGGTACCAGCTGGGTTAGGGATGGGATGAAGTATTTAAAGGAAAAAACAGTCCAGCTTCTCCTTAGCCATGTGGCTCTTCCAGGGGCAGAGGGTGGCCCCTCCCTACTCAGAGGCCCAGCTAAGACTCACCTTTGCCCCCCACCCCAGAGACCAGTGAACCATTAACTCCTCTCCAATGTGAGCCTTCCCACCCTGGCCCCGCCCCAAGGCAGGTGGGCTAGGAGGGGGGGCTTGTTGTCCATCTCAGCCTTTTACCTGACGTGGCCTCCATTCCACCTGGGCACCTGGTGGTTGAGACCGGGCTTCCCACCCCAACCCCCACCCAGGAAACTCTTCACCTCCACAGCAAGGCCTGACGGGGACCCGAGGTGACACTCTCACGCTGCCAGTGGGGGTGAGGCCTTGGAGATTGAGGGGGCAGAGAGATGGGTCAAGGTGGTGGAGGGGTGGGATGTGGAGAACAGGGGAGGGCCAGTCAGCTCCAGATCAGGTGTGGGAGAGAGAGCTCTGGGTCAGGGCGGGGGCTCCAGGAACTGGCAAACAAGGGGCTGCTCCAGGAGGTGGCAGTGGAGGGAGACGGGGCTAGCGTGGGGGCTGCTGCTAGATTCAAAGTGGGACAGCAGGTACATGGAGTGAGGGTCCTCCCTTGGCCCTGAGCTGGAGAACAGAGCAGTAGCTCTGACCCACCCCCCCGCCCCGTTCTTCCAGGGCAGTCCTCAGGATGTTCCAGGGGGAATAGCAGCTGGAACCAGAGCCTCTGATCCATTTCCCCAATGATGGGGTCCCCAGTGAGTCACCTGCTGGCTGGCCTGTGTGTGTTGGTGGTGGTAGGCTGCGTAGGGGGCTCACCCCCCAACCTGGGCCCTGCTGAGCAGGAACAGAACCACTACCTGGCCCAGCTGTTTGGCCTGTACGGGGAGAATGGGACGCTGACTGCAGGAGGCCTAGCGCGGCTTCTCCAGAGCCTGGGGCTCGGCCAGGTTCAGGGGCTTCGCTTGGGACACCACAGGCCTCCAGCTAGTCGGGCTACACCCCTAGCTGGAGACAATTCCACACACAGGTACCAACCCCTTCTCGTACCCCAAATGCCACATCCTCCAGCTCCTCTCAGTGCTTAATATCAGTCTTTACTTGCCTAGTTCTGGCTTCCAAAAACCAGACTCCTGAAATGACAGATTCTTAAGAACCTGACTCCTCACATCTCTCCAAGGCCCCTCTTGCCTTCTAATTCTCTCCTCCAAGTCCCTAGTCCCTTAGATTCCCAGCTCTTAGTCTCAATGCTCAGTATCTCCAGGCCAACTTGGTTCCCAATTTGTAGCATTTTGGGCTGTCCTCCCTCTGATTTCTCACCCCCACAGCCCCCACTCCTAGACTCACCTATAAATTGACAATTCTCAGATCTCCTCAGGACTGACACTCCGGGTTTCCGGGTCCCAGGAGCCCTGGCCAGTGGCTGGCCCTGGCCAGTGGCTGGCCCTCCCTTTTCCCCCACCTCTGTGGGAGCCTCTCAAAGGGGACTGAGAGAACATGAGTGAGAATCTGACTTGCTATCCCATCCCTTCCAGGCTGCAGGACCCTGAGCTGAGTGTGGATGTCTGGGCAGGGCTGCCTCTGGGTCCTTCGGGATGGGGTGACCTGGAGGAGGCAAATGCCCGCGACACTCCCCATGGGCCAGCCCCCTCGGGCTTGGACCTCTTTCACAGGCTTCTGTTGCTGGACCATTCGCTGGCTGACCATCTGAATGAGGATGTGAGTTTGATGGTCTCTAGAGACTAGGAAAGAGCCACAGGATGTAGATGGCCTGAAATGTTTAGTCAGTAATTTAATAGTTACTTAAAAAAAAAAAAAAAAAAATCCCAATCTAAGCTTTGGGTACGTTATTCCAGGAGAGCAAGTGAGCCCACACTCAGAGCTCTGAGACCCAGTTTAAGGGCCATACTTGGCAAAGGAGAGAAATCAGAGAAGCAGCTTAAGAGCTGGAAATGGACACCTGGAGAGGAGACCTGCAGGCAGCGCTGGCTGTCTTCACCTAGAAAGGCAGTGACCCTGTTCCACGTACACCACAGGGCAGCCAAAGCTGCCCGACCATACACAGCAGGTCCAGTGAGCTTCCCACCACAGGGAGCATCCAGCCAAGACTGGGTGACCATGTGCCAGGGCTGTTGAGAGGGAGGTGGGATGGCATTTTGTCTCCCAAGATTCTGGACTGGATGGCTCTAGGAGTCCAAACAGCTCCGTCACCAAACCCAAAAAACCAAGGCTTGGGAGAGAGGGAGTTGACAACAATGTTCATCAGCACCCAATTTGCATGCGGATTGGATACTCACTAATACATAACACACGTTTATTGTACATACCCCAGTCCCTGAGGCACTTGCCTATGTGAGCAATGGGGACCCTGGGAGGGACCTGGGAGTCCCTGCTATGAAAGAACAGACCTAGAAGACCTGAGTCATAGTTCCCAGTGACGATGTCTGACCCCAACTCAACTCCCCTAGTGTCTGAATGGCTCCCAGCTGCTGGTCAATTTTGGCTTGAGCCCCGCTGCTCCTCTGACCCCACGTCAGTTTGCTCTGCTGTGCCCAGCCCTGCTTTACCAGATTGACAGCCGCGTCTGCATCCAGGCCCCAGCCCCGGCACCTCCCGGGGATCTACTATCTGGTCAGTGGGTGAGAGTGGGTGGGGGAGTGGGCACCATGCCAGGGAAAGAGGTTCCCCTGGGGTCCTGCTGCTCCTTGCATCCCTCTGCCCTGCCTCCCCTCTGGGCCCCTCCTGTCCAGCCCCGTCTGACTCCAGCCCCTGATGCTCCCAGCCCTGGTCCACAGTGCTCTGGCAGTCCTGCTGCTCAGCCTCCCTGCTCCCCTCTCCCTGCTGCTGCTGAGGCTCCTGGGATCTCGTCTCCTGCGGCCCCTGCTGGGCTTTCTGGGAGCCCTGGCCGTGGGCACTCTCTGCGGGGATGCACTGCTACACTTGTTGCCGCACGTATGTGAAGTCTGAAGCCCCTCCTTGTCACCCTGCCCCCAGTGGCGGCCCACCTCCACACATCCAAGGTGCTCCCGGCCGCAGGACATCCCCTCCTACTTCCCGCCAGCTCCTGCATCCCACTCCCAGTAGAGTGCAGGAGTAAAGGCCTGCCACCTCCCTCAGGGAAGGGGGGTGCTGCTGGGTGTAGGGGCTTCCGGGGTCTGCCCTGACCGCCTCTCTGTCAGGCACAGGGAGGGCAACATACAGGGCCTAGCGGGCGACCGGAGGAGGACCTGGGTCTGGCGCTGTCAGTGCTTGGAGGTCTCTTCCTGCTCTTCGTGCTGGAGAACGTGCTAGGGCTTCTGCGGCACCGAGGACTGAGGCCAGTAAGTGGCACCTTTTCCTCCTCCTTCTGCTGAGACCAGAGTCCCAGTCAAGAGCTGGCCAAATGCACCAGGAGGTGAGAGGCAGTGTGCTCCTGGCTCTCTGGTGTTTGCCTGATTGTGCAGAGCTAACAGGGAGCGGGTAGAGGCTCCTTAGTGTAGACCTAGGACCTCGGGCCAAATGGCCCCCTCTCCCAAGTCAACAAGAGACAGAGGGAGGTGCTGACCTAGGAAGAAGGTAGAGAGGCCAAAGAACATCCCCAGGTGCAGAAGTGGAACCAGGTGTTCATTTTCCCAGTTGGTGGCCTGGCCACCCCTTAGTCCCTGGCTCTGCTGCCTCCTCCACCAGGAGGGATGCCCTCCCATTTCAGAGATGCTGCAGGTGGAAAAGACGGGATCTCGAAAGACCAAACCTAGACCCAGAGGATGGCAATGGGATGGCCCTTCAGCCCCTGCAGGCAGCTCCAGGTGACTACAGAAAATGGCCAATCGGTTCCCAGCTCACAGACCTCACTTACAGCAACCAACGCTGTCCTTGTCTGTCTCCCTGCAGAGCCAGGGGCTCAGGGCCAGAGGGAGCAGGACAGCCAGCCTGCTCCTCCTGGGCACCCAGGCCACAGTCACGGGCACCAAGGTGGTGGTGGCACCAACATCACGTGGATGGTCCTCCTGGGAGATGGTCTGCACAACTTCACTGATGGGCTGGCCATAGGTGTGAGGGGACTGAGTGGAGGCCAGCAGGCCAGAGGGGAGGCCAGGGCTCCTGGTTATTGGCTGGGGCTGGGAGAGGGTCCCAGGAAGGTGGGGAGACGTACTGACTACAGAGGGGATGCAGGCCCCTGCCCCTCAGGATGGCGTCCTCCTGGACTGAGCCCCTCCGATCCTGCCCACCCCAGGTGCTGCCTTCTCAGATGGCTTCTCCAGTGGCCTCAGCACCACCCTAGCAGTCTTCTGCCATGAGCTGCCCCACGAACTGGGTAGGACTGACAGAAGCGGGGTGGGTGGACTCCAGAAAGGAGGGCCCTCCAGGGGGCGGAACTTGAAGGCTACAGGCTGACACGGGGGAAGGGCAGACCTGGCTTATTCTCTCCTACCCTATCTTCTCTCCCCAACAGGTGACTTTGCAATGCTGCTCCAGGCAGGGCTGCCCTTTCGGCAGCTGCTACTGCTGAGCCTGGTGTCTGGAGCCCTGGGACTGGGGGGTGCAGCCTTGGGGGTGGGGCTCAGCGTGGGCCCTGTCCCCCTCACTCCCTGGGTATTTGGGGTCACTGCTGGGGTCTTCCTCTATGTGGCCCTTGTGGATATGGTAAGGGGTGTGGGGTAGAGCAGAGAAACCAAGCAAGTGGGGAGGGGGGTGAGGAGGAGATGGAAGGATCAGTCCCTCCACTTCAATCTACTTGGAGACCAGACTGAGTCTCGGGCCTAGGGTGCTGAATGACAGGCCTGCAAGAGTCTGAGAAACCAGGGGCCGGAAGAGTTTAGGCGGGGGCTGCTGATACTCTGACACCCTCCCTCCCGTTAAGGGGTCAGAGGACAGGCCAGGGTCCTGACATTCTTCCTTCCTTTCAGCTACCGGCCCTGCTTCGTCCTCCTGAGCGCCTCCCTATGCTCGATGTGCTACTGCAGGGGCTGGGGCTGCTACTGGGGGGCGGCCTCATGCTCACCATCGCCCTGCTGGAGGAGCAGCTGTTGCCCCTGGTCTCTGAGGGCTGACAGGGGTCCAGGCTGCCCTTCCTTCCCCCTGACCACAGGAATGGAGGCGGGACACAGGGCCAGTAGGAGCAATCGGATTTTAATAAACAGAACCCATCCCAAAGCCATGACTACGACAGTTGTACTTGCGCCGAAACAGCACAGAAAATCAGGGTGTGGTGGGGGGAGGGCTCAGAGCAGGCTGGGGGAGGACATGTGTAGGGCCCGGAGGGTGGAGGGGAGGGGGCATCCATCTGCAGGGAGAGCATTGTGCTTTAGCCCAGGGAGGAGGGGAGGGAGGGGTGGGGCAAATGCACAGGTCCCCACTTTTTCCTGCTGCCCTCAGCACCCAGGGGTTACAGGCATCTGGGCAGATCTGCCCTTTATTGCTGCCCACCAGCATTAAACACCCCGACCCCAACACTAGCACCACAGGTGGATCTGGGGCAGAGAGAAGGGCAGGAATGGGAAAATTGCTTAGAGAAAGATTCAACTAGAATCCAGTAAATTGTGCTCAGTTCTCTTTACTTCCTACAACCGAGTACATGGGTCACAGGGTGGAGGGTGCAACAGGACACGGAGCATGCCCTCTGTGCCCCTCAACACACACCTGCACACAGGATGGTGGTGTCTGCAGCATCACAGGTCATGCAGGGTATGGGGAAGGGGAAGTTTCACACACACACAGACGCCCACAACGGGTACCAGACAGAGACCACCCCTGAATGTACACAGCTATACATGAGGAACCCCCAGGTCCCCACCCCAACCCTCTCCCCTGTCTTGCCATCCCCCAGGCAGGGGTACTGTATTGCTTTGAGAGAGCCACCCTGGGGGCAGCTCTGCCAGGCACCCTCCCCTCCCACCCGCCCCCATTTTGGCACATCTGCAAGACACACGGCAGCAAGAGTAGACACCCTCCCTCCCAGGCTTCTGTGGCTTGGGGTTGGGGAAGGGAGGAGGGGACTTCATCCTCCATCTTTCCCCTAGCCCTTCCCAAACCCTTGCCAAACTCACTTCAGCCAGAACCCCCCCCCCCCAAACACACACATACAAAGCTGAGCTATCCAGGAATACAGGGGAACAAGGAGATTGTCCGGGAAGGGAGCAGAGGCGGTAGGGGGAAAGGACTGGAAGCAGAGACCCCCCCCTGGTGTGGGGGTAAGACTGGCACAACAGCTACTTTAGTGCAATCGGAGAGGGCGCCCAGAGTGAGGGGTGGAGACGGGAGGGGAAGGCTCTCCCCAACTTCCCTGGGGACAAAGTCAGGCTTCCGGACTCCCCAGGGAAAGGGCCCAGCAGGAGTGAGCAAGGGCTAAGGGTGGATCCTCTCGTCACCCGCCACCCTCTGCCCTCCCAAATGCAGTGACAGTGTCTCCCTCACACCTAAGTGGGCAACAGCAGCCTCAGAGTCAGTACCTTCAAGTAATTCAAAGAGCAGACCCTCACCACCCCAGCTTCCTCCCATCTCTGGAATTTGGTCGCTTCCCTAGGGGCTGGGTCAGGAAGAGGGAGTCCCCAAATCAAACCCTTCCCTCTCTACCTCCCTGTCCCAGACCACTGGGCTTGGTCCTCAAAGATTCCTTACCTCCACCCTTGCCCAACCTGGGTCAAGGCAGCGGAGGGCTGGAGCCACCACAGTTAGAGGGGAAGGGGCTGTTTTGCTCCTTTTCCCTCCTTCTGAAAAGATAGAGTTCAAACTAGATAGAATGGGGGGCCCCAGACTGGTTTGCCCCAGGAGCAGGGTTTCTGGGCTAGGGTCTGTAAGGCTATTTTCCTTTGCGGTGGGAGGGGGAGGTGGGGGGATGAACACTGGGTGTTGGGGGAGGGGAGTAATGGCTGAGGGGTTGGGGAGGAAGGGGCTGTCTTGCTGGAGCATGAAGTCCTTGGGGTCATTTGAACAAAGAAACACTCGGGTGCACAATATGCAGAGTGTGCCTACCCCCAGCCCCTCTAGCCTGACCCCAGTCCCGCCTCTCAGGGCCCCTTCCAAGACCCTGGAGGTTTTGGGGGTACAGCTGTAGAACCGTTCACTCTCGCCCTGCCCACCCCACCCCACCCCCAGCCTCTTCTCCCCTTCTAGGTCCAGGGAGTAAGAAGGTGCTCGGGTGGGCAGACAGCGGTGGAAACAGTATTGAGTTTTCCTTTGGTTACATATTGAAGGCAAAGGTGAGCTGGACTTACAGTCAAAACGGATAGGGGTGAGGAAGGGAGAGGGCCATGGCTGGGGATGGAGAGGGAGGTAGCCCTCCTCGGCCCCTCCACCCCAAGGAACACATGTCTAAGTGGGGTGGCAGTCCCTTCGTCTCATCTCTCCCACCCCCCACAGCACCAAACAAAAGGAGAAGCCCCCTCCCCCAGGGGCTGCTCCCCACCCCGACCCGGGCTGTACATTCAGTGGTTTTCGGCAGTCCTATGGCTCAGGGGGCCACGGGTGGGGGAGGTGGCCCATCAGTCTCAGCTGGACAGTGGCAGTGACGTGGGTCTGTTGGTCCATCCTGGGACCCACAGTTTGTGCCGTTTGTTTTTCTGAAGGATAGTACACAACCCCACCAATGCCACTGCCCAATCAGAAACATCTCCCCAAAAATCAGAAACTAAAAACTGGCTCTTTCATCTCGTCCTCTGATTCACATGTCTGTTTCCCTGTCTCCTATGTAGCCCTCACTGTCTCCTTTGCTGGGACCTGGGGCTGCTTCCAGGGTCCTCACTCAACATAGGCCTTTTCACAAAAGTGCTTATTACTTGAAGCAAGTGCTTTAGAGCTGCAGTGGGGAGGGGGGAGGGGGAGGAGGTGAAGGGCAGGAGATGTTTCCTCCCCACCCTACCCCCTTAAGATTTGGGGGCATTCTGCCTGTTTTACTTCTCCACACCCGTTTAAGTCAAAGAGGTTTTTTAAAAAAAATCTTAACATTAAAATAAATATGCAGTGGCCATAAGAATGATCAAAATGCTTCAAAAAACACTAGGGGCTGGGGTGCCCGGGGGGCGGGGGTGTAGGATTGCCTTTGGCATAAGGAGAGGAGGCTGCTCATCCTCCAGGCCTCCTCACAGCCACAAGAGGAGGGACAGAGGACTCCCCACAACTTTCCCCAGCACGGCTGACAGTTGCTGAAGGGGCCGCAGGGACAGGCAGCCACCAACAATCTCATCCAGCAAAACAATGGGGCTCCTGACAAATACTCAAGTCTTCCTGTCATCACCAAACATTGATAAAGAAGAACACGACTGATACCCCAAGAGTCTCCTCTGGAGAAGCCATCTCCCCTCTCCCCTGCCCCCTACCACCTGATTCCCAGCACCAAAATAAGAGGGAGGGGACGGAATGGGAAGATTTTAGGAGAGAGAACTGAAGTCAGGGGGCAAGCTTTGCAGAACCAGCAGGGGTGGGGCAGGGGGGCTGCAGCCCTTAAGAGAGGTCACATTGATTGTCGTATAGGGGAGGACAGGATGTGAAGGGAGGTCGGGAAGAGGGGCGTCGCAAGGCCCTTTGGCTTTGAAAACAAATATAAAAACTAAAAGCTGCATAATCCTCCTCACCAATAATGGTCATTCGGAATCTTTGAAATGGTTTAGGAACTGAGGGTTGAGGGAAGCAAGACAGAGAGATAGGGGATAAAAAGGGACCACAGGGGTAAAAAAAAAAAAGAAAAGAGTAAGGACTTAGACAAATACCCCAGGCTTCAGGGAACTAGGATGAGGTATGGTTAAGGGTACCTAACTGCTGGGGAAGGAGGGATCCCTGGGATGCTCCCTCTCTCCTCAGCCCACCCTTGGCAAGGGTGGCAAGACTTTTAGGGAACTGAAAAGTGGGTAACAGCGTAAATCAAGCAAGCTGGGGTCGGGGAGGAGAGCCCTGTACTATGTAAACGAAGCCTGTCCAGTTCTCAGGGGACAATACTGACGGCAGCCAAACTGGGCAAGGATGCGCTGTGGGGTGGAGGGGGCATGACCTCTATTCAAGTTCTGTGTCTTGGCCCCTGGCTGAGGTATTGAGTGTGAGGAAGGGAACACTGGGCTGAAGGAGTGGGTCCAACTGTCCAGGAGGCTTAGCTAGGAGATGGATGGACAGGGCATTTGAAGGGACCAGGGCCAAATTCAATGCTACATTTAGAGAGAAAACTGCCCCCTCCTCACTCTAGCCCAGTTTGGCTTTTGGGTGCAACTTTTAGGAATCTTATCAGTGCAGCCCTAGCTCGATCCCATCTCTCCCCAGTGCTGGGAGGCAGGGCCAGGTCACAGTAACCATTCATTACTCCCTTGGCCAGAGCTTCACCCTCACACTGGAGGGGAGTCTGGGTCCCGAAGCCATGGTCCCCAGTCTGCCCTGCCCCTCCCGCCATCTTTGGCTTCAGATCAGGAGTGACTGGGGGCAGTGGGTACTCTGGACATAACGGAAGGGTGGAGGCAGACAGGGGGCACAAAGGAACTATGGCATTGGGGGGCACAGGAGGAAGAACACAGTCCCTCCCTCCATACACATGCAAATACATGCCTAAAACACATAGGACATACTAGGGCTGTGGTTTTGAAATGGGCAGGAAATTAATTTGATTTTTCCCCTAAAGGATAAAATGCTTACTTAAAAATTCATGACAAGCCTCAAACTTAAGGGAGGGAAGAGCCAGGAAGGGAACGCCCACAGGCTCTGCCCTCTCGAAAGCAGGTAAAAGAAAGAAGCAAGGTTAAAGTGCGTGGTTCCGGGGTCAGGCCGGGGCAGAGGCGGGAAGGAGGAAGGGGCGGGCTGTGGGGGCAGGACCAGCCCTTGATCTGCATATGAGGAGCCAGGGAGAGCGCAGGATGGGCCCAGGCACAGCAGTTGCTGTTTCAAGTGCTTTGCATTTGAACTTAAGGAGTGATGGGTAGAGAAGTGGGGAGAAAGCTCCAGGCCCCAGTGCTAAATACCCTCCCCCCTCGTCCTCTAGCTGCCCCTGAAGGGGGAGGGGGCACCCCCAGAGTGCTCACACAGTACCAGAAATTAAGGCTTCTCACTGCTGCGGGGATGGAGGGGCCAGCCGAGCAGGGAGGCAGTGATGGGTGATGGGTATGGAAGAAGACGGGGGGCATCTGCCTGGCAGGAGGGCAGGGGGAAGGGGACACAGAGAGGAGAGCCCGAGGGAAGAGCGAGGAAGCTGGCAGCAGAAAGGGGGAACTGAGAGACGGGGTCCAAGAGAGGGAGAGCCAGGCATTTAGCGATCATTCTGGGACACTTGGCAGAAGGGGTTGCCCTGGGGGTACTAAGGGCCTGGGGTGCTCCCTGTCAGTCCCAGACCCCTGCCAGGCCAGGATGGTGTGGCAAAGGGGTGAGCAGCTGCTCCCCAGTGCTTTCCCCCCCTCCACCTCCCCACCCAGTCGTGTTCTCCTTTAAAGTGCCCTAAATGTATAGACTTTTTCTAAATAAATAGAATAAGATATCAAGCCACCGGCGGGGGAGGGACACTGGAGGGGGGCTACTCCGAGTAGCAGCCATCTAACCCAATGGCGCCGTGCCGCTCCTGGCTGTAGGGGCAGGAGGCCCCATGGGGCAGGGCACCGCAGCCACCCACCGTCTTGGCGGCTGCAATGCCGCAGTTCTTGAGCAGACTGAAGCTGAAAGGACTGATGGCGTCCTTGGGTGGGAAAGGCTTCATGGTGGAAAGGATCAAGGCCAGGCAGTCGGCCACATCTTTGTTGGGGGCACAGGCCAGTGCTGGGGTGTGACCTGCAAGGCAAAGGTCAGGGAACTGAGGCACAGGGCCCTACATCCTGGGTCCCTATCCACCCTCCCCCAGGCCCTGAACTCCCTTATCTGTGGGGGTAAGCCAAGCAGGCAACCACTCAGTGTGGTCAGAATTCAAGGGCTATGAGGGTGCAGGGACACTGACAGGTAGATTCTCAAAGTGTAGGGGAAGGGTGGGGAAGGCGGAGCATGGGGGACAGAAGGCTAGATGTATGGGTGGGGACAGGAGGTTGGGTGTGTGGATGGGACAGGAGGCTGGGTGTATGGGTCTTCCTAAGGGCCCTGCTGGCTTTACCCCGTTCTGTCAGACTCCCCTCAGAGACCCAGGCGTAGTGGTGTTGGGTCCCTGCTCTGAAGAGCCCCCTTGAGAAGAAAATCTAAATTTTATAGCACAGTTAAGAAGTCACCTCCTGAAGAATGTCCCTGATCCCAAACCCAGGAAAGGCTGGGGGCTCCAGACCCCACCCACCTTCTTCATCCACAGCCAGAACTGTGGCCCCTCGACTCAGCAGGGCCTGCACCACAGAGGCTAGACCATTCCGGGCAGCAATGTGGAGTGGCCTTGGAGGGAAGGAAAACAAGGGAGACTGAAGTCAGTGGGCTCCACCACAAATACTGTGAGCTCCAGAGAGTTCCTGGAATTTGAACTACTCTCTCTTCACCCACCTGCCTCCCCCAGCCAGGAGCCCCCTTCCCCAAGCACTCACATCTGTAGCGCACTATTGGTAGCATTGATAAGGCCAAGGTCTTGGGTTTCTGCCAGGATCATGAGGGCACACTTCTCATGGCCCTAAGGGAAGGGAGTGGAGTGGAGACTTATGACGTAGAAGCACGACAGGCAGAGGAGTAGGAGCTGCGGAGGGTGGCAGGGGGACAAGAGCTATCCCGCCAGTTAGGCTGGATAATCCTGACCTCTGCTCTAGTCTCCTCTCCCATCAAGCCAGACCTACCCCCTATCATGAAGCCCTACCTCTTGTATCAGGCAGCCCACCACCACTCTAGGCCGTACCTTGCTACAGGCCAAGTGGAGGGCAGTGTTCTTGTTCTCGTCCAGCACAGTAAGATCTGCCTTCCCTCGATACAGCAGAAATTCTACAGGAGAAACGTGAGAGAGAGGGACTGACGCTTCCCTCCAGAGCAGCAGCCATCCTGGCTCTCTACCCTCTATCTGCATAGATTTTGCATCAGATCCACAGAGGGTGAAACATCCAAAGGTATCCCTCCTGCTTCCTGAGCCTCAGCCCCATCAAGCCCCCACACACAGGGTTGGCCCATGTTGCAAAAACCCGAGGGGAGTTCCTCCGTTCCACACACAGCCCCTACACACCCACAGCAGCGGTCTGCCCGTTCTCAGCCGCCGTCATGAGCGCAGTGCGGCCAGTGTGGTCAGTGGCGTTCACCTCGGCTTGATGCTGCAGCAGCATTCGGAGCCCAGAGACATTGTCCGCGAAGGCAGCGGCGTGAAGGGGGGTCCTGTGGAGTGGGGATTAGGGTAGAGTGAAGTAGGGAAGGCTCTTCAGCCTGGGCCAAAAGAGCAAGAAGACAGGCTCCCACCACTAACCGTCCTTTGGCATCTCGGCTGTTCACAATCTTGGCACCCAGAGCTCCCAGCAGCATCTCTGTGGTGCTGTCCTGGTTATTAATTCTGGGGGAAGAGGGAGGAAGGGTCACCAGGAAGGGCAAGGGAAATGGACGGCCTGTCATAAGCCCAGCCCACTGACCCCTGAGCGGGGCCTGGGGCACAGGAGGGGCCTTACACTGCACAGTGCAAAGGAGTGAAGGGGTTTCCTTCCAGGTATGAAAATGGGCTGTGTTCAAGTAACAACTCCAGACAATCTTCATGTCCTGCGTATGAGGAAGAAAAAGTGGTGATAAGAGAAAAGACAATAGGTTCCTTCTATCTGTCCTGTCTCATCTCTTGACACTCCATCCCACGCTCAGAGTCCAATCAACTCAGTTCTCTCCCAAGACCCACTTGTCCTTTTTCTTGGTTCTTGTCTGCCCTCTCCCACACTCAACCCACACGTTCCTGCGCCTGCTGAGGGCCCCAGACCCTCACCAGTGTAAGAGGCCCAATGCATGGGCGAGTATCCGCTGTAATCCACCCCAGCATCCAGGGGGTCTGTGGAAAGGGCAGCCTGTAGCAGGGTCCGCAGTACTGCAGTGTGGCCGCAGGCCGAGGCCAGGTGAATGGGTGTGCGGCCTTTGAAGTCTCGGCACAGCACAAACGCGTCATGGTCCAGCAGGGCAGCCAGGCAGTCCTCACAGCCAGTCACTGCCTATGAGAGACATGGGGGGTGAGCGGGAGGGAGGAGCCACTCCCTATCCACAGCGCTGAGGGCTGGCTCAGGAGTAAAAAACAGCCAGTGCAAGACTCCAATCTTTGTCTTTATAACAATGACTCTTAAGTGTCAGGGATCAGCATCTCCTCCCTTGTCTCTCTCTATGCCAACAGATGATCAGGATGGCAAGATTAATCTTGAAGCTCTGAGTGGGAGACCAAAGGAATAGGGAGAAGGAGACTAAGAGATCAAAGAATGGAGGCCAGCGATGGTGGAGAAGATCAGGGCGGTGGTATCGCTATCCAATGGAACAGTGCCAGCAGGCGATCTGAGGGAGGAGTCTGGGTAGTGAGCACATGGTTGTATGTGATTACAGAGCAAGATAATTACAGAGCAAAGTAAGGCCCACTAAGACCCTGGGCACAGAATTCTGTCAGCCCACCTGCTAAACGGTCTGATACCCTACTGTTAGTGCATCTATGCAGGCCTGTCTATGAGGGACCCCACCCAGGGCTACAGCAGGAGCTCACTCACTCCTCGGTGGAGGGCAGTGCGGCCCCGGAGGTCAGCAGCATCAGCTGTGGATCCTTTCTCTAGCAGCAGATGTACACAGTCCACGTGGCCGTTCATGATGGCAAGCATCAGTGGGGTTCTGCAGAGGGGGTGGGAGAAAGGGTGAGGGTCTAGCAGGGATGGGAAAACCTACGTCCCACCCTGGGCCACACTCACTGTCCATAGGCATCCATGACATCTGTAATGTCAGCTCGTTCCCCACTGTCGATCAGCAAGTGCAGGGAATCAGTGTGGCCAGAGGCAGCTAGAGAAAACGGAGCCTATGTCAACGAAGGGTCAGGGAAGGGCAGGAGGCCAGGTCCAACCTAAAGGACTCTGTTATTTTGTTAACTATTCTTGAGTCGCTTCTGACTCATGGCAACCCCATGTGTGCAGACTAGAACTGCTCCATAGAGATCACGAGTCCTATCTTCTGAGGTGCCTCTGGGTGGGTTCAAACTGCCACCCTTTCGGCGAGTAGTCAAGCACTTAACCATTTGCACCACCAAGCTGCCTAAAGGACTCTAGGGTCGAGATTATGGAAAGGCCTGGGGCAGGGAGAGGTCTTTGGGGATAGTAAGCTACAAAGCAGGACTTGAAATCTCTATCCTCCTCATCCTACCCCACTTCCAAGCCCAAGCCCACTCAGTAGGGATTTGGGGACCAGTTGCCAAGGCCTAGCGTGGAAGGGAATACTAACCAGCAGCGTGCAGGGGTGTCCACTTGCGTTTGCGCTCCTTGATGAGGGCAGAGGCACCATGGGCCGTAAGCACCTCCACACACTCAGTAGAGCCTCGCTCAGTGGCCAGGAAGAGCGCGGTCCGGCCCTTGTGGTCCCTTACATCCAGATTCACCAGCGTCTCGGCCAGTGTCTTCAGGGCCTCACAGTGACCATTGTAGGCCTGGATGCGTGCAGGCAACCAATGGACCCAGCTTGGGACATGCCCCTACCCTCTCCCTGCCCCGCCTTGCTCTTGGGGCCCCTCCTTTCTCCAGACCACTGCCTGCTTGTCCCATTCCCACAAGGCGGCAGAAGCAGGATGGATTCAGAAGTGTCAGGACCTTTGTGTGGCCTTGAGGGCAGGTAAGGACAAGGAAAGCAAGAGGAAGAGACTTGGAACTCACAGCTAAGTGCAAAGGGCTGACTGGAATGGTGCTTTCCACATCCTCCAGGCAGTTAAAGGACATTTCTAAGAGCTGCAAGGGACAGAACAGTAAGTGCTAGGGTGCTGGAACTCCCAGGATATTGCCCCCTCTCCCCCAACCACAGCAATACCTACATGCTTTATCTAGACACCACATTTGAGTCCCAGTCTCAACCACCCCTTGGTTTCGGAACCCATAAACCCAAAGGCAGACAGTGTGCCGGCACCCCCGCCGCCCCCAGGCCAGGTCGGACACATACCAGTTCGAGGTTCTGTCTGTTGCCATAGGCGGCTGCATAGTGCACAGCTGTGTAGCCCTGCCTGTCCCGCAGGGAGGGGTCTGCACCGTTATCCAGTAAGAACTCCAGACAGCTGGGGAGCCAAGGGTAGACTGTGAGGCAGGGACAGGCCCAGCCCTGCAGGGGGCAAGTTCTGGGAGGGGTAGAGGAGGGGGGCGAGGGAGCCCCTCCAGGCCTACCCAGCCAACACCCATCCTCTGCTCTAGGTGGGCTCTCTAAATCCTGCGAATTCTTCAGCCCCAGCTCTTCCTCAAGGTCTGCCCTGAACTGCCTTCCTTTATCCTTCGAACTTTCTCAGAAAACCTAGAACACAATTATCGGCTATCAACCTTCTGCCGGTTAACTCCTGTTTCCAGGCATGCTTACCCCCGACTAGAATGCCTTCTCCTCCTAGGCCATCTGAAGAAGTCCTAGTCATCTCAAACACAGTCCCAGTACCTTCTCCTCCGTGAGGCCCTCGCCAACCCTCCCAGTTAGGTGTCTCCTTCTCTGTACTCCTGACACCCTTCTCATAGCTTAGTAGTCATCGTAGTAGTTGGAGTATTCAGTACTTAGTATGTATCTAGCACTGTTCTAAGAGCTTCATGTGTATTCAGTCATTTAATCCTCATAACGACCCTATCCTGAACCGAACCCACTGCCATCGAGTCGATTCCGACTGATAGCGACCCTACAGGACAGAGTAGAACTGCCCCACGGGGTTTCCAAGGAGCGGCTGGTGGATTCGAAGTGCTGACCTTTTGGTTAGCAGCCGAGCGCTTAACCACTGTGCCACCAGGGCTCCAATGACCCTATCAGGTAGTTGCTATTTTTACCCCTACTTATGACTGAGGAGGAGCCCTGATGGTGAAGCTTTTGATTTACACAGAAATTGTGAAAATAGTACAGAGAGTTCCCATATACTCCTTTCCCAGCTTCCCCAATTATACACATCTTACATTAGTATGTGTGAGTGTCCTTTTATCTATCTTCCCTACCAGATTATAAACTGCCAAAGGGCAGGCATTTGGGATAATTCATCTTTTATTTTCAGCCCCCAGCACAGTACTTGGTAACAGTAAATTAATCCTCGTGGGATAACAATTTATTTTGTAGGCGTGTGTTTCGCTTTTCTGATCTTCTCAAGACCATCTGTTCCTTGAGAGAGGGAAGTGTGTTGCATACTTTTGTCTTGCCCACCGTGCTTAGTACGGGGCTAAGCCCAGAGTGCTCCAGAAACACTGCTGGCCACCTGGCAGGACAGCAGCAGAGAAGTGGCAATGGAGAGTCAGAGTGGGTGGGAGAACAGTACAACCAGAGTTGGCATTTTTAGAAAACTGAGGCAAGTGCATCCCAGGAGCCTTCCCAACTACTCACAAGAAGGCCTCCTTCCTGCGGGACTCCTTCAGTGGCTCGTCCTCTTCAGCATCGTGACTGGAAGCTGAGTGGGGTTCCACTCTGGGGGAGAGAGATTGAAGAAGTCAGGGAAGGCTCAGAGAGGTGAGCGGGGCTGACAATAGCCAAAGTGGGAGGCTACCTCCTGTAAGTGTCGGACGCGGCAGCATAGTGGAGGGGAGAGCAGCCTTTACAGTCAGCCTCGTTGACGCCGGCCCCAGCAGTCACCAGCGTGACTGCACACTGGTAGCTGCCGTTGGCGGCTGCATAGTGCAGTGGGGTCCTGAGGGAGAAGTGAAGGAGGAGGGTAAGTAAAAGAATCAGGGACAGATCCAAATGCAACCAGATTTGCAGCCAAAAGCTGGCTCGTAATATTCTCCTCGCTTAGACTCCAGCCCCCACCCTCCCCCTCCCCCAGTTGTCTCTCTAGACACTCCTATGTATATCCCCTCCACACTAACACACCTTCCAAATTTGTCTCTCCTTCTCAAGTCAGCTCCACTGCTCAACAGCAAATTAAGACATTCAACATTCCTAAAAGGAAGGAAGACGCGGCTTGAGAGTGAGAGCCTTACGGAGAAGCCACAGACCCAGGGAGGGGGTGAGGAAGGTTGGAACAGCCCCTTATGCTATAACTGTCTCATTGTGAGAGGGGGAAGAGATCTGCGCAGGAAAGAACAAGGGGCCCAGACCCCTGCCCAGCTCTCTTCTCAAGGCTTGAGAGAAAGATAGGAGAATTCACCCTCCAGAAGCAGCAGCATGAAGACAGGTGCGGCCAAGGTTGTCAGGAGTGTTGATGTCAAACCCAGCTGAAAGCACGTGCTCATTGCTGAGCGAAGATACAATGCTGTACAGCTGACCTGGAGGGGGTAGAACATTACAGATCATTATCAGACAGCACAGAGCAGAGGGGAGGCCTCTGCTTTCCTACACACCTGCCCAACCCTCCAGCCCATCAGCACGCACCTGAGGAAAGCAGCTTACGACAACAGTCAGAGAATCCAAAGAGAACAGCTAAGTGCAGGGGAAACATGTCGTGGATGCCGCGCCTAGGGAGAAGTTGAGGACTCAGTTCTTGGGTCTAGTTACAGGCCTCTTTTCTGTGGCCCCCCTCCCCCAACCAGCCAAAGAGTCAGGGTAGGAGCCGGCAGGGTGCTCCAAACCTCCCTTTGGCAAGCTTCTTTGTGTCTCCATGTTTGATGTGAGAGGTCTGTGTAGATCTGAGGTGACCCAGAAGTTGGGGCCAGGGGCCCTGACTCACCGGGCGGTATCCGCGCCATTGGTCATGAGGGTGCTGATGAGCAGCTCGTGTCCATAGCGAGCAGCCACGTGCAGTGGCGTGTTCCCAAATTTGTCAGCACAATCAATCTCACTGCCTGAGAGAACGATACGTGCACACAAACTCAGGCAAACCTCAGGCTTAAGGCCACTCACACGAGTTAGCTACCATTTATTGATGGCTTATTATGTGTCAGTGCCAGGCTAAGCACTTTGCATGTATTATCTTATCTGTAAGCCTTAGAGACCTGGAGAAGGTAGAACAGGGCCCATTTCCGTAAGTACCCTGCTCAGGGATCCAGGTGCCCATCCTTATTGGAAGATGGAGTGGGTAGAACAGGGCCCATTTCCATAAGTACCCTGCTCAGGGATCCAGGTGCCCGTGCTTAATGGAAGATGGAGTGGGAGGTGGCATCAGGAAGGAAGGGGGTTTCTAGGGATGAGTTCTCTCGGGGAGGATGAGGAGAGAACAGTTTCCAGAGTCCATACCGTTCTGGATGAGGATCTGGGAGCGGGTGAAACGGCCGTGGATAGCAGCCATGTGCAGAGGACTTTTCCCTTCTTTGCTCTGTGGAAACATGGCATCTTTCAGTGCAAAGCTCAGAGGATACCCTCTTCCCCCTTCCAAAGGACGTATCTCTGGGGACACGGTGGTCATATGGGCATCTTCTCAGCCCACACACTCCTGAGTCTCTGGCAAGGTCTGTCCACCCCAGGAGGGACAATTCCCCAACAGAGTTATCCAGAGGGAACGATACAGGCAAGATCCCCAGAGCTAGGTTCCTCTCCCCACTGGTCTGAGCCTCGCCCCTTCAGGCACCTGGTAGTTGACATCGGCCCCATTATTGACCAATAACTCCAAGCAAAGCGCGCCATTGGTGGAGACTGCAGCTACATGCAGTGGTGTGAAGCCCTTGTCATTCGGCTGGTTGACATTGGCTCCTGCGTTCACCAGCTCAATAGCCACAGCATCCTGGCCCAGGTAGCAGGCGATGTGCAAAGCTGTGTTTCCGAAAGCATTGGGCTCATCGATCTGGATTTCCAGGGGTGAGGGTAAGGGGGTAGGATATCAATTTAAACAAAGTGGAAACGGGCACATACAGCCCTAGAGAATACCAGAACTCCAACAACCGTCTCAGCCCCCTCAGGCTCCTGACCCAGAAGACTAAGGGCACTATTATTTAAGGTGAGAGTGATTCAGATGCTCTCACGAATCCCCCCAACTTCCCAAAACCACACCAACATTCTCAGCACTTTCATGTCTCCGTAACAGGCTCTGCCCTCTAACTCCCCACCCTTAGTCCCCAGCCCCTGCCCTGACCTCAGCTCCCATCCGGAGAAGGTACTTCACCACTTCGATCTGGCCACTGGCAGCGGCTGTATGGAGCAGCCCATAGCCCTTGCGGTCCTTGCAGCCAAGGTCTGCTCCCCGTGCCACCAGCAGTTTCAAGACCTCCAAATGCCCTGGGAAAAGAGGATGCTCTCAAGGAGGTGGAGGGTGAACTCTAAGGCCCTGAGTTCCTCTCCCCAAAGGCCACAAAACCCTATATCCCTGCTGAGAAGTCCTATGTGTAAAATTCCTGCTTTTCCCATGGATTCTTTCTCACCTAGAAAAGCCGCCCAGTGCAGAGGCTGCCGCTCCTTTTTGTCGCAGACATTGAGGCTGGCTCCCTTGTTGAGAAGCAGATTTACCGTCTGTAGCAGGATATGAAAGACACCTGTTCAGAGCCAGGTACATGCCCTCAACCTACCTAAAAGCAGAGGTCCCATTTCCTGAAAAGGCTGAGGCAGCCTAATGCCTTTATTTTGAGCAGAACAATGTAGAGAACTAGAAGGGACAGAGGAAACAGGCACTAAGGAGATACCAGATTGATACGCAGGTTCAAAGGAAACTCAAGGAGTCTCTTCAGGCGATATGGTGGTCCTTAAACTCTTGAGTCTTGGAAAATATGTTGAAAGACATGGACTCTCTCCTCAGAAAAAGGCATGTACACATACATTTTGCATGCAACTTCCAAGGGGGCATCAAGCCCACGATGTACAAGTCAAGAATTTCAAACTACTCCAACCATTCAATTGGGGCTTGAGCCCAAGTGTTTATATAACCATCTGGGCTTCTCCGCCACCAGAAGCAGGGGGAGGTGAAGCAGGGAAAGAGAAGGTACTAGGTTGGGCCTGGATTAGAGCAGTCCTCACCTCAAGATGCCCACTATGCACTGCATGGTGCAGGGCACTGCGCCCGCTCCTGTCAGCCACGTTGAGGCTGCTCAACAGGGGTGCCAGAGCCTCAGCACACTTGGTGGCCCGGTTGGCAGCAGCCACATGCAGTGGTGTCTGCCACAGCTTGTCTCGGGCATTCACATCTGCTGAATGTGCCAGCAGCAGCCCCAGCACCTTCTGTTGAGAAGCAGGGGACAGGACAGAAGATAGAGAGGGAGCAGGAGGTAAAACAACAGGAAATGGAAGGAGGAATAGTTCAGCGTGGCACATACACCACCACTGCCCCCAGCACGGAGTCTCTTCTCAGCTTCCCAACATACCTAACCTCTCAATATCTACTTCCCCTCTTCTGGGTCTTCTCAGAGCACCTTACCTCGTGAGGGAAACATGAATCCCTCACTCTTCCTCCAGCCACCTGGTATCATTCCCCAACCCACACTCTGAAAATCCTCACTCACACATACATTCACCCCCAAGAAAATCCACGCATGTAGGAGATTCCAATTCCCTAGTATTTCTAGGAAAAATAAACTGTTCTGCCACATTAATGCCCTGAATACCCTCCTTTGGTCCTTCCACAGGCACCAAGATCGTTTTCATTACCTCTAAAAACAAACAGATACTGGTTCCTCACCAAAACCACCAAGGCTAAAATGCCCCTCCTAATCACCATCCACCTCATTCCCACTGGCCTCAGACCCTCCCCCTGGTGTCTGGAGCCAGGGAAGTGACTGTCTAACTAAGAGAGAGGTCTCCTTTTTCCTACTGCAGAGCTGATGGGATGAGGTCTGTTTGGCCCCTGTGCTGTCAGTTTTCCTGCTGCTTGAGGGGCAGGGATGCATCAGATCACTATCTCCACGCCCCCACTGAAAGGAAAGAAATCTCAGTGCCCAAAGGGGGGTCAGAGTCCAAGGTGGCCCCCCAGGGAGGGACGAGTCACTCAGGTCTGGCAGCAGGGCCCCCTGCAGTCTGCCAGCCTGGTGTTAAGCTCTCCCTGATGTCACATCAGCTGGCAACACATAGCCCCCCTTCCAGCCAGTTCTAGGGGTAGGAGGGAGGGGCCAAAGTCTGATCATCTCCCTGCTTGAGGGAAGAATAGCTTATAGAGCAGAGGACTGACACACTCCAACCCTTAACCTCCACCTTTAATCAACTCCTCTTTCTGGGAAGGATGAAAGGAGGCGAAGGCCCATACCTCATTTCGGGAGGCAGCGGCACGATGAAGAGGGGTCAGCCACAGTGTATCCTTAGCGTTGACATTAGCACCTGTGAGAACATAATTTCCTTTTTTTGATGGGAGATGGGGAGGAGGTGGGGAAGAAAGCCAGTAATGAGGCCAGAGAATCTGGATACCGCTGGAGCCTCCCCTGGACCAACTACCAGAGAACAACCCTTGGATATGCTGGGAAGAAGAAAAAAGGCTCCTCCCTTCTCCTCCTCCCCGAGGTGCCACACCTTCCAGCTTCCCACTTTCACCTGACATCAGTAGCAACTGAAGGATGGGGACATCGCCTACGTAGGCAGCAGCATGCAGTGGGGTTCGCCTCTCTTGGTCCTGGGAGGGCAGAAAAGAGGAGGGGCTGTGGAGAGAACTATCCTGGCTGGAGAACGCCAGGACAAGTCTTTAACGCACCAGGGTCTTCCCATGGGCTCTGCAGCCTCCTAAATCCCGGTACTGAGAAGTCAAAGACAAGCACTTAAAGAGGGTGGAGTCAGGGCCAAGGCCCGGGAAGCGGCTCCTTCTGCAGGAGGGGAGGGGGCGCTGCCGACCCCGATGGTTGGTAAGAGAACACCTTTTCTGGGCATCCCCAGTCTCTCTGGTGTCTATTCCGAGCCTGACCGGCTCTCTATCTCCAAATGCAAAGCAGGCACCCACCCCAGGGTGGAAAGAGCTGCGGCCTCATCCGAGCCGAGGAGACACGGAGCCGCCCCACTGGTCGGGAGGGGTCAAGAACACCGGAGCGCGGATTCCGGGCTCGCCATCCTCCTGCTCCCAACTCACCAGCACATTGATGTTCTCCTTCTGCGAGAGGAGGGAACGCACTTCCTCCACATCTCGGCTAAAGATGGCCTGGACCAGGGGCGGCTGCAGGGAGAACCGGCGGTCAGGGAGCGGGCTGGAGCAGGAGCGAGACCAAAGGGGGGGCATCCAGGCTTGAGGGGGAGGCGTCGCTGGTGGGGCTCCGCTCTGGGGGTCCTGCCTGCAGCGAGTCCCTGCGGCGCCTCCGCCGGTCGCCAGGCCCGCAAGGACACCGGCTCGGATGAGGGGAGCGCGGCGTGGGGCGGGGCGGGAGCCGCGGGAGCCTGGGGCTCGGGCCCAGCCTAGGCCGCACATCCCCGGGCTCGCGTGGAGGCGGCACGGCCCTGGAAGGAGAAAGAGGGAAAGGGCAAGAGAGCTGACCTGGTCCGTGATGCTGAGGATCCCCATGGCCCGGCCCGGGCTCCGTCCGCATCGAGCTCCCGGCGGCGGCGGCGGCGGCTCCACCGGGGACACG